AGAAAACAGGGCCAAAAAAAAAAAAGATACAAATATATTTCTCTCTCTGAAACGTTTAAAAAATTTTTTTTTTTTATAAGTGAATAAAAAAAAGGTATAAAGCTTACTATCTTAATTTTAAATATGTTGCTTTATTACTACTGAGAAATTAGACAAGCATACATTTAAGTGCAGCATAAGAGCACACTGTGCAGTGTTATTTATGTCTGTAAGATGTAAAGTCACACACACAACTGCTCTTCACCCCTCAGGTTCAGGGCACCATGAGCTCAAGAACAGAGCTGACAGCATGATAAACATCATCAGCCCTCCGCGGGTAAGAGGAGAGAGAATTACAGCCTCTGCATTATTCAAAACTAGTGGTGGATTTCTGACACCTCAGTCTAAAGTCTTCTGCCTCACACCTGGGGAAAACACTGATCATCTCTCCATACTATTTGTGAAGGAAGATTCAGTCAAACAATTAAGTACTGTAAATGATGCACAATGATACTTTGATGTAATCATCTTTTATTTACTAACCAAAAAGTTAGTTAAGTGTTTTTGTAAAATAAAATAAAAAACTTTGCCACAATAAGGCTGGCTTTTTGCACACTGAAAAGAAAATGGGGTTAGAAACAGGTGCTAAAAAAATTTGAATTAACCGTGAAATTTTGAAGTAGAAAGACTGAAATACAGAGTTTTGGCATGAAACTCTAGATGGCGCAGTCCGATAGGTCTAACTCACTCAAGAACAGAGCTGACAGCATGATAAACATCATCAGCCCTCCGCGGGTAAGAGGAGAGAGAATTACAGCCTCTGCATTATTCAAAACTAGTGGTGGATTTCTGACACCTCAGTCTAAAGTCTTCTGCCTCACACCTGGGGAAAACACTGATCATCTCTCCATACTATTTGTGAAGGAAGATTCAGTCAAACAATTAAGTACTGTAAATGATGCACAATGATACTTTGATGTAATCATCTTTTATTTCTGAAAATATCTTAAACTTTCTGTAATCTTACTGTGATTACATACAATTACATACATATTTTTAGATAATTCAGAAAATCAAATAGTCATATAGATATTTTGAAGATGGCTGGTAATCAAACAGTTGGTGGTTGCCATTGACTTCCATAGTATTTTTTTTTCCTACTATGGAAGTCAATGGCAACCACCAACTGTTTGATTACCAGCAATCTTCAAAATATCTTCTTTTATGTTCAACATAAGAAAGCAACTCATACAGGTTTGGAACGACATGAGGGTGAGTAAATTATGACCGAATTTTCATTTTTGGGTGAACTATCCCTTTAATGCTAATTGTATGCTGGGTCATTTTCAGGAAACAACCTTGTAATTTTTAAGCATTTCATTTGAAACTGTTGAACTCTCAAGAAATCATATTTTCTTACCTCAGGCTGAAACTGCCAGGTTCATAATCATCATAGACACTAGGGGAACCACCATGCCAGGATGAAACATTTCAATGAATGCAAAATTGATCTATTGTTCTCAACAGGTTCCTGATATCATAATTTTCCGCTCTCAAAATCAGAAAGAGGAAGATTTTTCTAACTTGTACTACAAGGGAGGAAAGACAGTCCGTCGGGTCACCACTGTTTGACCTCAGGGTCAACCCCACATCAACCACCCACTGCAAGAAAGAGCCAGCTTTCTGTTCAGAGAGACGCCACAAATTCAGTCTTACCTTATTGTTACTCCAAAGAGGTCTTATATGCTGAAGATGAAGATGTGGTGGCTTGCATGTCAAGAGTATTGAGACATAATCATAATCATATGAGCCCTGCAGTCAACTGCATGCAATCATTCATGGTAATGGCTGCTGATAAATCAGCCACATCAACACTGCATATGCTCTTTTTCAGAAATAATTCAATTGGATGTGATTATTTTGTACCTTATTCAAATGAAAATATTTAAGTTATTTTTTGTTGATCGATACTTTACACAATTTTGTACATCAGTATATGCATCTTCATAAGTATAGAGGGCTGCAGTGATGATGTATTTTTGTGGGCCAAACGGAAGTTGGCATTACCCTGGTTCCATCGACAAAAATCCAACTGTATTTTTCCAATGGCTTGTGGAATATTGCAGAAAATAAGCTCTGAGACCATCAAAAGTTTATAATTTCACGTTTTTCTCATCATGATAATTTTTACAAATCTTCACAACTTAAGCCTAAATACAATTAGCAGAAGTAAAAAGATAAATATAGGCTATAAATTAATATAGGCTGTAAATAAATTATTTCAATCCTTATTAAATAAATACCTTAAAAGTTTGAGTTAGAATAGTTTGCAAGAGAATGATTATAAACACAATGTGCTGTGAACTAGTAAGTAGTAGCTTACCCTTTTCAGTGCAACATTTAAGCTTTTACTTTCTTGTAAAAGGCGGCTGCTAACAAGTCGCTAAATAGAACTACAGAGGATGTTGGGGACATTAAAGGGATAGTTCACCCAAAAATGAAAATTCTGTCATTAATTACTCACCCTCATGTCGTTCTAAACCCGTAAGACCTCCGTTCATCTTCGGAACACAAATTAAGATCAAGATCAACGCCCAGAAACTTAGCAAGGAGATCGGTAAAATAATCCATGTCACATCAGGGGTTCAACCGTAATATTACGAAGCTACGAGAATACTTTTTGTGCGCAAAAGAAAAGAAAAAAAACGACTTTATTCAACAATTCGTCTCTTCCGCGTCACCCTATAGCGCCATTTTGGAGAGTATCCACTGAACGCAAACAGCGTATGGTGTTCTGTGTCAGCTGCGCGATACGTTTTCTACGTTGTTTGTGCTTTGATTTGAACGAAAACAACGTATCCGCGTGACGCAGCTGACACAGAACAACATACGCTGTTTGCGTTCAGTGGATACTCTCCAAAATGGCGCTATAGGGTGACGCCTCAAACTACTGATCTATAATAGAGAACTGGATTGATTATGTCATAAAAAGTGAAGCAACCATACTGTCATATTGGAATTTTGAAGTATTTACACTCATTCTATTGAGACAATGTGATATATATATATATACATACATGCTCACATAGGTTATTTTACCGATCTCCTTGCTACGTTTCTGGACGTTGATCGTGGTAGTACCCTTGCTGTCTATGGGAGGGTCAGAGAGCTGTCAGATTCCATCAAAAATATCTTAATGTGTGTTCCGAAGATGAATGGAGGTCTTACGGGTTTAGAACGACATGAGGGTGAGTAATTAATGACAGAATTTTCATTTTTGGGTGAACCAACCGTTTAATGTCCCCAACATCCTCTGTAGTTCTATTTAGCGACTTGTTAGCAGCCGCCTTTTACAAGAAAGTAAAAGCTTAAAAAAAAAGTCGGTATTATGCATATGTATTTTTTTTGTCATAGAATCAAATGTAAAAATTCTTGTACTTTTTTAATGAAAGCATTTAACCACAAACCCATTCAAAAACACATTGACTTCAGGGCAATGGAACCCAAAGTGATAAAATGCGAACTGATTTCTGGGTTTTGTCCTATAAAAATATGTCATCCCTGCATCAATTTATTTCATTGTTATTTATTTATACAGTGTATCTTTGCAATAAACTACTGTACTGTTAAGTATTGCTTGGTATACTGAATAGTGTTCTTGAGTATTTAAAAAAAAAAAAAAAAAATATATATAATAATTATTATTATTTTCTCAGAGGGTTCAATTAAGGTAAGGTTCAAGTAATTTTTTCCTGCTGGCTGCTCGTCAGTCATGGATGGCAACTGCTGAATAAATTAGGGTCACCCTCAGTAGGTCACACAAAGCTGTCGTGATATGAGAGGGTGATAACATAACCCTTTTGTTTTTGTTTGAGTCTCCAGACCAGTGTTATCTTTCCTAGACCTGCTTGTGTTACTGAGGTTTTCATTCACAAGTGGTGGCTTGATGTCAGGGTCAAGCAGACTGTTTCTCTGGGGTGATTTACAGAGGCCACTGTTTGTCTGTCAAAGACTTCTGCATCATTGCTTCTGAAGTCTGTTTCCCTTCTCTCTGCCACTTTCGTCTTGTTTTATTTCACGTGATTTCACAGAATTGTCTCTCTCTGTTCTGTGAAAATGTTGCAGTGCAATATTGTGCACTTCGGTATTGTTATACAAAATCTATCTATCTATATCAGCTTTAATTACTGAAAACTTTATAGTTATATTAATATATTTAGGTTACATTTAATTTTAGCTAACAACAGTAACCCTTCTTAAAAAATTTCAACTACAATTTTAAAATCTTCTAAACGTTCTATGATGTGCAACTGCATTCAGTTATGCCATATACTAATGTGCAGTGAATGTTACAGTGTATCTCAGAAACACATTTCTGGTATATCTGGCACGCACATATGAGACACGGGAACTGGCTGCAATCATGTAAATGAAAGTATCTAATCATGACCATAAATATTTATTCATACATATTAGAACCCAGCCACCACATAAAGGTCTTCGCCTCCAAACAATGATTCAGTCTTTATGTAATTGACCTCAGCTGAATGAACCCTTTTGGAATCAGTCACGGTACTTTGAAACAATTGCAGCCTGCTTTACACAGCGCGATTCACTGCAACGCTGATGAATAACTTAGCATGTCTTCTCTGTGATTGAAATGCAATCCTCTCCAGTACATCCTTAAACAGGGCATTTAAGCGCTTCCAAAGTCAGTTAGGTGCCACTGTATTAAGTGAATGGCTATTATAGGAAATTGGAGACAGGAGCCCTCGACATGGTGCTGTTAGCATAATTAAGGTCCATGTAATTAGCAGATTAATGGCTCTTAAAAACGGCTCAGGTAAGTAGGAAATGCAGAAAAGCTTTACATTTGAGATCTAGTGTTGCTTTTATGTGCAAACTCAGAGCTCAGAGAATGGCCACCATGTGAATTCAGGCTAACAGCAGAACACTTGAAGCCTCGTTTCGCTTCCCAAAGTGAACAGCCCTGTCTGACTAAATACACTTCAAGTAACTCAGAGTTTCATCACAGAGAATGCGTACCGACAAAACCAAACCCACTTTGCTGAAGGACAAAAAAATTATTCCTTGAAGGTATCAAACTCAACACATTTGCTCCAATTACTCATGCAGGCTCCAATATGCACAGTCAGCATGTGACACATAAAAATAGGTTTTGGCAACTAAATAATGCAAAGTTTCTGACCGGCTGGCTGATGGTTTAAGGCAGCGGTGACCAATTCTGCTTCTGGAAGGCTCTACAGAGTTCAGCTCCAGACTGCTCCAACACACTATTCATGAAGACCTTGATTAGCTGTGTTTAATTAGGATTTCAACTAAATCACAATAATTATGAGATTCTGACTTGTAAAAAGCGTATTTGTCACCATAAAACGCCTTCAGCAGTAAAAAGTTAAGAAGTTATATTTTTTGCTTAATAATGTATTATAATTTATTATTAAAGACTATTGTTAATGTCTTAAAGGTCACATATTTTACACCGTTCTGGAGTTTTATTTTAGGTGTTGGTGTCCTTGAGAATATATATTTGCAGTATAAGTACCAAAAAACATCTCAATATATTTTTACAGCTCAAAGACATTTAAAATTTTTTACAAAGACATTTTTACTGCTGAGAACAGGTCGATTTTGGCCTGTCTAATTAATATTCATGAGCCTATCTTCTGATTGGTCTGTTGTTTTCTGAGTGACACATGGCCAGGCTAACCACAGGTAACTAGGGTCAGCCAACGTCACAGCGCTAGCTGGAGGCAGCAAAACAAAGGGGAAACTGGAGGCGGCCCATTCAAACCAGCGCAAATTCGGCTACATAATTGTTGTCTGGGGGTTTGGCAAAAGGAGAGTGGACAGTGGGTGGTGCTCAGGTGGTGACTGAAGGCGGTGACTGTGTAGTTCTGACGTCAACTTTTTACGGAAGTCACAACGGTTCGTGAAAAATCACAGCTACTTTAAGCAGGCTGTGTGCATTTTACTGTGGACTGACTGTTTTGAAACTTATATGGTAGTTAAATAGCCCCTAGACCTCAGTAATCGTGAAAAAAGCCAGGAGATTTCAGTTTTGACAATATGGGACCTTTAACAATAGTGACTATACACCATTTGAGTACCCAGAAAATTTATAAATGTAAGGAATTATCATTATTATGAATTAATAATGCAGATTATTGGGATAATAATCTGGAAGAAAAAAAAAACGATCAATTGATCTCATCCCCCAGACTTTTGATTGGTATAGTGCATTTGACTTTGTTTCCCTGGAGAGTCAATGTTGCTGTAAATTGTTCTTAATTGAAAATCATTATTTCACGTTACAGCTGTGATGCACAAATATCTCTCATTACTAAGCTCTGTTGTTGGCCTCACATCTCATCTCTTGGGTGTCACTGGGATGTTACTAGAATATATACCTTCACAACAGCACAATAACTAGCAATTATGCAGAAGTCAGCCAGAACATATGGTACAACAAAACTATTGAGTTGAATTGTCTCACCTTTGGCAAAATGCTTTGAAAAGGAGAAATGAGTTTTAATGGAACATCAATTCAAATACAATCGCTTTGGGCAATAAGCAGCCATGAAAAAATGATTTAATTGCTCAGCAATGATTTCAAACCATTTCATATTTGTAATATGGGTTTGGGCGTTTACAGCTTTCACAGAAACATAAAAATGTATAATATAATAGCAAAACTGACAAACATACACCCAAACTAAACCAGAGAGAAACAACTTTTCAGGGGAAAACAACTTTTTTGGTAAAACCACGGTTTTGTATAAATACCATGGTATGTGAATGTGGTAATCATTCAGTAGCATGGCATATATCAAAGTACTATGGTATTACCATCCAGGGCATTACTTTTTATCTTTCTACCAATTTTACATCTTCCCACTACCACCAAAATATGTGAGGTCATCAAAAAAGTGACACTGTTGATAGATCACCACTTAATTTCATTCAAAGCCCATTCTGATGACCGATCATTTAGCCCAGAAGCTTTGTCAGACTCCTTGCTTGTCCGAGGGCAGTTTAGCAGGGGCATTTCCATATGTGCCACTGCACCCCATCTGTCAGAGCTGGGCTCAGATGGCAAACACAGAGGCAGACGGCAGGCCAAACGCAGGCTGTCACTTCAGCAAATAAGTCTCTCAACTCTTTTAGACGTCCCCTGAAATTCCCTGTCCTGATAAATGG